ACAGAGATATCCATGCCTTCTTCCCCACCAGCTATGGGGGCTTCCCTCTCAGCCACAGAGTCGGATGCGGGGCCCAGAGCGGCTAAGAAATTCTCCATGGGTCACACAGCAAGGAATTGGCAGAGCAGGACTAGAATACTGAGGAGTGGGGCCCTGTCAGGAGGACTGGAAATGTTGATCCTAAAACATCCTTTGAGGAATCCTCACGTTCCCTTGTTTAAACAGGTCTAAGACCTGGCCAAAAAGCCATGACTCAATACAGGGAAGAAGTCATGTCTTAAGAGTGGGGTTGGAATTGAGAGTGTGGTCCTTTCCTCACTGCAAGACTGCTGCCCGGGCTGGCCATACACCCCCACCCCTTCATTTTCTCTTTCCTCATTTTTCCCTGCACCAGCCTCCGGCCTGCCCACCCATCTGCAAGTCTGCACGATGGAATCCAGCTCTGTCTACCTTTATTGCTCCAAATGGAGCCTGGCTATGAGCCTGCTGCCTCCCAGACCTCTCCCCTGGAGGTCCCCCTAAAACCATCATCTCCATTCATCATCCCCCAGGTCTCCTCAAGGACCTCCACCACCTGATCCAGCTTGGAGCTCCCTCAGCCTCGCCCCTCTCTCCGTGCACACGGGCCCCAGGTCCTGGAGACTGCACCTCTTCCATGGCTCTCCAATCCATTCCCATGCCCCCATTCTGGCCACCACCACCCTGGTCCAAGCCACCAATGACTGCATCAGCCTCTGGGCCCAGGGGAGGGAGGAAAGAAATAAGGAAGCAAGGACATAAATTTGTCCTTCCCAAATTCATTTCAGCTTTCTCAGGGCTCCAAGCTCAGAATTCGGCACACAGTAGGTTCTCATTAAGTATTCTTGGAATTGAATTGCACCATCTTAGCAAGGAATCGATCAGAAACCACTTGGCAGGGTTGGGGGCCTCGGAGATCAGAAATGGTCTTTTAAAGTCTGGGGAGACCCTCTTCCCTGTGAAGATTTGCCTTCAGACTTTAGACTGCGTTTCTTTTCAGTGGTTTTTCCTGCCTCTCTCGATGGGCTAATTATTTCTGATTGTGTTTGACTTAACTCCCCTTCCTTCTGTGAGCGGCTGGGCAGCGGCCTCGCCTTTCTGTGGCCAGCAATAGGGCCCCATTGATTCATCCATGCCATGCAAGGGACCCCACAGGCACATTCTCACCACAGTTTTTGAGTGGGTTTTTTTTTTTTTCCCTGCTAACTAGAGAAGTATTCTCAGTATATTTGGTATTTTTCATGCAAGGGACCCCACAGGCACATTCTCACCACAGTTTTTGAGTCGTGGGTTTTTTTTTTTTTCCCTGCTAACTAGAGAAGTATTCTCAGTATATTTGGTATTTTTCAGTACTTTCTCTGCACAAGGCAGAGTAGCAGAAGAGGGAAGGAGGGCAGGTGGTGGGTGGGTGGGTGGCAGGTGAGCTTGGGGCACTGGCTCCAGCTCTCTGGGCCACTGTTTATTCCCCTGTGGGATGGTCACCCACCCGGAAGGGTCGCGCAGGGGAGATGAGAGTCTGGATGGGAAACTTCCACCCAGTACTGGCACTAAGTAGGCGCTCAGGGTCTGGTCCTGGCCTCGCCTCTAACAGGAGGATCCTGATGATGCTGGCAGTGTGGGGAAGGGCTGTGGGAACTGCCCAGGGCTGCTCAGGGTCAGTCACCATCTGGGTCCAGCTCCCTTCAACGTGGCCTCTTAGGCCCACCCACCTGAGGCCTCGCCGCTGCCCTGAACCAGCATGTACAATGCAGAAAGCCTTCCACAGGTCAAGGCCCACCCCTGGGGATCTGTGTCCAGCCTCTTCCCTCCCTGCTTGACAGCTTGAGTTAACAAGGGGCCCAGGAACTGCGAGGCTGGTGTGATTCAGGCAGGGTCCCAGCAGGAAACAGATGGTGCACACAAGATGGTTATTCGAACAGAGTTTAATAAAGGGACTATTTACATAGATATAAGCGGGGCATAAGGAAACCAGAGGGATAACTGCAGGCCCAGTTACCCCGTGGGCCTGCGGTCAAGGGGAGAGCGAGGTAGAGAGGAGGTGGGTGAGCAAGACCATGGGTTCAGGGCTCTCCGGTCCATGGTGACCCCATGGCGGGAGCCTGCCCTGGTTCTCTCCCCTCCCCTTGATCCGCTGGGGCTGCCGTGGCCACCCAGGGGCCAGGCTGATGTGAAGCGTCCAGGTGAGCCACCAGGTGCACAGAACAAGGGCAGAGAGTGGAGGATGGTTCTTCAAGAGACAGAAGGAAAAGAGCCTGCACGATCCAGAGCATCCCCGAACCCAGCTGCCTCCTTTTCAGTAGGGGAAACTGAGGCCAGAGAAGCTTCTTAGTGCCAGAGCTGGGGTTTGAATCCAGGTCTTCTGGCTGGAGCCCAGGCCTCTTGCTGCTAACTCTCGCTGCTTCAGGGTACGCACCAGCTCAGAGCAGTGCCCAGCCCTGGGCTGGCTCAGTGGTGGAATTAGAGGGACAGGGGAAGCGATTGCAGGCCTGCGCTCAGAGCACCAGCACAGATGCAGAGCCGCAACCTCCTTCCCAGGTAGGACCCAAGTCAGCTGCGCTGGTTAACTACCCAACCAGGGGCTGCCAATCTAGGGTGAGAGTGTTCCTTTCTCTCAAGGACCTCTATTGGCCAGGCCTACCAGGACCAAGGCTGCTGGGTGTCAGGTGCAGCTATGGGGCTTCCATCAGAGGAGGAACCCCAGCAGGACCGTGAAGGTGGGGAGCACCCCCAGCCACCACGTGAGCTGAGAACCACACTCAGGAGGGGCTGGGGGACATCTGCAAGAGCTAAAAATGTGCAGAAGAGATGCTACAGGCCTGGAGTCAGGATTTGAATAAAGCCCAGGGTGATCTTGGGCAAAGCCTTTCCCCTCTTCTCTGGGCCTCAGTTTCCCCTCTTGATCTTCCTTGGCTCTGACTCCTCACCTGTGCACCCACATCCACCTGGGTCAGGGCAGAGACACAGGCCTGTTGCCATAATGGCCTGGATGGGTGGAGGCACCACAGAGCAGTTGGGAGAGGTGCATGGGGGATAGTTTGTGGGCCAGAGGAAAATTGGTGTGAGGCCATGGTGGTGGAGAGTGGAGGGGTGACCAGAGAGAGGGGGACCAGGAGATTGGGCTGGGAACAGAGACCTAGATGCAACAGCATTTAAGGAAGGGAAAGAAGAGGAGTTCACAAAGGAAACAGAAGAAGCCGCCTAAAGGGACCAGGCCGGGGCCCCACTATCCCCGCTTGGCCCTGTGTATTCAGCCCCTTTCCCTCCACTGGCTCCTTCCTCGATGCACATAAACACTCTCAAAACCCTGTCTTCATAGAAACAGGGGAATCCCAGACACCAAGTGAGAAAAAGGAGTGAGGGAGAAAGTGGCCATTGGTCCCAGTGCAGAAGGGACATCATTGAAGCTGAGAAGAGCCATTGGAGCCAGTCAGGCGGATGCCTCGGGGCGGGATGGGGAAGTTGCTGGCTGCAGAGGCTGTGCAGGGAGTGGGAGGTGCAGAGCTGGAGGCCAGGAGCTGTGCAGGGAGAGGGGGCTAGCCGGCACAGGGCTTCAGGATGCAAGTGGGTGCGTGTGTGAGTGCGTGCATGCGCGTGTGTGTTTGTCTCCATCTCAAGATGGGAGAGAAGAGAGGGGGCTAGCCGGCACAGGGCTTCAGGATGCAAGCGGGTGCGTGTGTGAGTGCGTGCATGCGCGTGTGTGTTTGTCTCCATCTCAAGATGGGAGAGATTCCAGGGTATTTACAGTCTGAGAGGCAGCAGATGCTGAGTGAGGACATAATTGATTAATTAAATGAGGAGAACACGGTCTTGCTCCTCTGCAGGTTCCTGGTCTGTTGGGGAGACAAGGATTCAAACCGACACCTCTGCTAATATGATCTGCACTGTAATTGAGTTACTGCGCCCATGGGGTGAGGCGGCCCCCGTCTGGGGCATAGTAGGTGCCCTATGATACCATGTCCCAGTCCTCACACACAGCCAGCCAAAAGAAAGCCACTCGGGGCCCAGGCCCCAGGAAGCACCCAGCAATTGTCCTTACTGGAGGAGCGCGAACGTTATTTGTGCTTTTAACTTGCACGGTGGTTTCACATGATTTTATCTGCTCCTCAGAACCCAGCATTTGTCAGGCTCTGCCTTAGAGGCCCGTGAGCCGCTCTGTGCAGCAGCGGGTGGGAGGAAGGCTCTGAAGGCCCGGTCTGTGTCGGATTCTCATCCGTGCCCCGGCCACATGGTGAGGGCCCAGGGAGTGTTTGTGGAGTGAACACATCATGTATGGATGGACGGTGCCGTGGAATGTTCGACAGGAGAGCTCTCTCTCAACATGGTACCTATGGGTAAACTGAGGCCCAGCAAAGGACTCTCACCCAGGGCTCTGTGTGACACTGCACTGATCTTTGGAGGCCCTCGTGCTTGCCTCGGTTCAGTTTCTGCCGCTATTCAAACATCTCGTGTCCGTAAGCGTTGCTGCAGCCCTGCTCTTTACTCCTGCTCTTTTACTCCAGAGGGGGCTCATGGTTTGGGGCTTCATAGTACATCCTCTCTGTGCACCTCTTGAGTCTAGAGCCTTCTTCGAGCCAGGGCGAGGTGGGTCCGAAGGGCTCATGTCTGGGGAGGGAACTGAAGTCCCCACTCGCAGGGACACCCCCAAGCCTCGCAGGCTTCCCACGCTACGGCATGAAGTCTGGCGACTCATCCTGGCCTCCAAGGAAGGCCCCAGGTCATCCTTCTGTGAAGAGGACACACCTGGACATGCCCATGCCCTTGCTCCCCGCATTCCACCTCATGCCAGAGACAGCCTCCTCCTGGAGCGCTTCCCTGAACACCCCTGCCAGGTGGGGCTGTCCCACCAAGCTCTTGCCCCCCCTACAGTGACCCTTAGGGCTTCTGAGGTTGGTGGCCGGTGATGGGATGTGTCTAACACCACACACGCTTCCCACAAACTGGAAGCTCCTGCAGGGGTTGGGTGGGCGGGGAGGGGGCCTCACCTCCCCCCTGCTCAGGTCTTTTCAACCCCCAGGGCTGCGAAGCCTGGTCATGCACTGGCACTCGACACAGGCAGAGACGAGCTGGCGCAGCTGCGAGTGGCCGCCCTGTCTCCCTCCACACGGTTGGCGGGTAGCCTGCCAGCTGGGCCACCGACAGGACGTGGGCAGGGATTCCCTCGGGAGGAGCCATCGCGGCTTCCTCGTGGTTTGGGGGCGCCTGTCTCATCGGCTCCCTCGGTCTGCACATCTCTGTCGTCAGTATTTTTAACTTGGCCCAGCTTTTAATAAACCTTCCGTGTGTGGGGAGCAGTAAACAATGATTTGAGGACTTGACTAATTGAAACACCATTCTGAGGTTGCAGAGAGAAACCTCTGTGGCTGGTTCCCTCCCCAGGGAGGGCCCTTCCCTCTCGGGGCCACTGGCGGGCTCAGCACTGCAAACTCGGGACAGCAATGCACCCAGGCCCTGGACACCAAGGAGTCAACAGCCCATGGGGGTCTGCCACTGGGACCCATGCCGCCCACACCCATCCCTGCAGCCTGGCTCCATCTCAAACCTGGCACCTCCTCCAGGAAGCCTGCCTCACACGTGTGCATTGCTCTCCTATGTGCAGTGCCTGGGGAGCTGGGGGTGGGGTGTCTATTCCCACCTCCTCCAGTGACAGCTGCTCAGCCCCTGATCTCCACCTGTCCCTTGTCTTGTTCTCTCTCCTGGTCCCAGAGATCCTGGCTTCACTTCTCTCTCTCCCACCCCTTCGCTGAGGGCAAACCCTGGGGGAAGGTGGCAGGCTTTCTCTCGCTGATGTTCTGTCTCCTCGTCTGTGTCCCCCTGTCTTTTCTCCCTGAGCAGTCCCTGTCTGCTGCTGGGTGCTTTCTAAAGACAAGAGTCCTCCTAACCTCAATGGGAGTCTGTCAGAGAGGACCCCTCAGTAAGCTGCTGAGTGTCCCAGAGGGGCAAACAGTAGGTGCTTAATAAGTATCAGAGAGACTCCATGCACACAAAGGAGGAGAGGTGGCCAAATCTCCTTGGGCAGAAACTGGAGCAGATGGTCACCCCAAATTCTAAAAATATCTATGCCCCATTCAACTGACATTCACACCAAGCTTCAGTCCCAAAGTCAGCAGTCAGGAAACCACCCAGTCCCATCCACACTGCCCACACGACACTGCACGGCTGATGCCTTTGATTGAAATAGGGGTCTTGAATTCCACCAGACCTCAGTGTGCACATCTGTAAAATAGGGCTAAGGACCTCTGCCCTGAGAGCCCCCCTCTCGGGGCTGGGGGAGGCCATGGGTGGCTGGGGCTGGGGGGGAGACTGGGAGCAGAACAGCAGGACTCAGCACCACTTGTCCTGATTGCTGCTATTACAATAATCAGGAATGTACCCGTTGACCTTTAGGGTAGTTGAGCCTCTCTGGAGGGCCTGGGGCGGGGGGCACCCCACTGGGAGCCCCAGAAGGCAGTCCACCTGTTTGGGGGCAGCCAGGCGATGACTGGCCAGTGGGCCAGCCTGCAGGCACCCAGAGCCCCCCAGTTGTCACGGAGCTTCCCTGCTCTGCATGCCACTTAGCTCTGCCTGCGACAGGGAACACTGTCTCGCACAAAGCCCTTGGCCGCATTCCCAGGTTCCACATCTGCCTCCACCCAGCCCCCTTGCTCGTCAAGACAGAAGCTGGCAGGGTGGGGTTTGCAAACATGAATCGTGGCATTTATTCATATGTTCCCTGGCCCCAACTTTGTAAAAACATCTGCGGGTGACTCTTCCTCGAGAGAAGGGAGGCCGCTGGGTTTTTTCTCCAAGCGTTGCCAGGAAAGAGACAAAACTGAGTGTGGAAAGCAGACCCTGTGATCAAGACAGGCACATGTCTCAGGGTGTGTAGTTAGCGACTAATTAGCAAGGCTAAAGACCTTGACTGTGGAACCAGTGACACGGAGAGGCCCCCGAGAGGCCCAGTGCTGCTCCATTCCTTCACACTGTCCCTGTGGCCCACTCAGAGCCTGAGTACTAGAGAAGAGCAGGCCTGTGGCACACATCGTCACTGCACCCCCCAGGCCTCAGTTTCCCCTTCTGTCCCTGGGTTGGTGACAACAAAACCCAAAGACCACCTGGATCCTGGGGCCCACTCCCCTCCTGCAGCCCTGTTCTAACACGTGAGGCACATCTCCCCGCTCCCTGGCTGCCATGAGGGCCTCCCCTCCCCCCGTCCCCAGCCCTGCCCCTCCTGCCCCTGGCACTGACCACTCCCCATAACCCACCCACTCACAAATTCCCACTGCCAGGCCTCAGTTCTTTTTTGTTCCCTCTACCTGAGGACCCTGCCTCAACCCTGTCACCCATCACAGCACAAGCCCGTCCTCCACGGGCCAGCCTGGCCGAAGCAGCATAGAGCATTCCCAGCCGTCCCTTTCTGCATGGCCCCTGAGGAAGACGGAGGCCCCTCCACACGATCACTGTCAGAGCAGCAACTCAGGGCCTGGGAACACAACTGCAGCATCTGGGACTGCCCCCAAGGGCCCCAGAGCGGCTGGCCTGTCTTCCTTCAGCGTGGCCCCAGGGGGCAAGCTCCTTGGCGCTGGAGGAAGCTGGAGTTTTGAAAAGGGAGAGTAATGTTGCAGAGAAGAGTATGGACAGACAGACAGACAGACTGTGGGGCCTGAGACAAGCCGTTTACAGCTCTCTGAGGCTTCAGTGTCGCGCCTGTGAATCGGAAATGCCACAGGACAACCTCCTAGGTCCGCTGTGCCCTAGTAAGTGACCAGCGGGAGCTGGTGGACAGCAGTGCCTGAAGGAAGAAGAACAGAAGGACACATCCAACCCGAAGCCCCAAGCCCCCCATGTCCCCAAGCCCCCATGCAGCAGCCCTGAGCCGGATGGGCTGCCCAAGGACGGGTCAGGCGGGGTCCTCTCCCACAGGCCAGGCTGCAGGAGTGCCCAGGAGGCCCAGGCAGGGCCTGAGAGCCTTTGGAAGTCTTTCCAGTGGAGGTGACCTTGGGGATGGGCCTTGAAGGGTACAAATGAGTTTGCCAAATGCAGGGGAGGGGGAGGCTTTCCCGGTAACAGGACAGACTTGTGCCAGGGAAGGCCAGGGCGCAGACGTGCCCAGCTATTTTGGGAGCCGAGTCAGAGACCCGGCCGAGCAAGGGGAGCAGCTGTCCCTGAGGAGGCTGAAGGTTGGAGGGGCTGCCCAGCTGGGGTCTTGCATGCCAGGCCGCCGGGCAGTGTCGTGGGGGGGCCTCGGACAGGCTCCAAGAAGGGGAAAGACAAGGTCAGAGCTTTAAAAAGCTCTAGCGGCCACTCTGGCGGCCATGACTGAGAAAAGGCAGCGGGATAGTGGAGACCATGAAGCGGTTCCGGCTAGGCCCAGTGGACAGAGGAAAGGGGACAGAAACGGGGCGGGGGCTGGGGACCTGGAGGAGGGGGCTGGGAGGCAGAAGCCCCCAGAATTAGATGCTGGAGGGCGTTTCTGCCCCTGGCCCGCCACTTGCTTGCCCACTTCCACCCGCTGCCCTGCGTTCCATGTAAGAGAGGGAAAAAACATGGTTGGAAAATCTCCGAATTTGATTAAGGTTTGTTTTTTTTTTTTTTTTTTTTTTAAAGGAGTTGCGCGACAGTGTCTTTAAGATGAACTCATCTGTGTAAAGTGAAAAAGAATACACACTCTATCCACTTTTCTATTTATACTTTGCACATGCATGGAAGTTTCCGGAGACTGTTACTAGTGCTCATCTCTGGTGAGTGGGCAGGGGAACTGGGATGGGAGGAAAACTCACTTAAAAAAAAAAAAAGTACCATGTGTCTAAGTGTCAATTTTATAGTTTAAACAGCTTCTAAAATAAAAGGAAATGGAGTGAAAAGATAAATGGTTGGAGAAGGTCTGAATTTGCTACTATTCAAGCAGGGCTAGAAGGGATCTGGAAAGTGGCGCGGGCCTGGAAGATTCCAGAAGCCTCGACGCTCCCTCCCTGGCATCCGGCTGGCCTCTGCTGGGGCCCTGTGTCCCCCTGAAGGGCAGGACAACTGCCCGGCGGCGGCCGCTGTCGCTGAGCCCACTGCGCCCCCTGCCGGCCGTCGCCGCGGGCCTGGCAGCCGCCCGCGCCCAGGGGAAGAGAGACAGGGGCCCGCGGGCCCACGACGGTCGCCCCGTGTGTCTCCCCGGGATGGATACGTGTGGGCGAACGATAAGAGGGGAGCC